CGGCGTTATTTGTTTCAATGGCTTTAACACTCAAAGATTAATTTGTTTTCAATTTTCAGGCAATTTAGGGGGAAACGACATGCCGTACATATACAGCCCTGGAGATATAATCTTCATCGTGACCTTGACCGTCATTCTGGTGGTAATAGTTGCCATAATAACATTCCTAAGTATTTATTTGTCTAGCAGACGTTCTGCTGACAGTGACAGTCAAAGTTTGACTAATGCCGACTATGCCAGAAGTTCAGAGATACTGGAGATCTGGTCCGTCGAAGGAGCCTACAACCCAATAGCCACTTAACACACTACAAGACGATGCAACGTCTATAATTTGACAATCTGTGACACATTTGCCATAAAATCAACTTTCAAGATATCACTTTGCGGAGAAAAGAAATATTACATTCTTTTGAGCTCGATCGAATCATCAAGACACAACGTCCACATTATCAGAACAACCTGGAAAGACATTATCAGAACAACCTGGAAAGAAAATATTCAGTAGTCTACAACGTGTGGAACTCAAAGTTCAAGACTATATATATCTATTGTAACAAAAATAAAATCCTTGGATTCACTGATGACTAAGCCATCAAATGAGATATACCTACCAGCACACTACTAGCCATCTGTGAGAATCTTTAGAAAAGATCTATCTAGATGTATTATTTCAGCACCAGACTATTTACTTTGCGGCAACGATTGTCAGGCTTTGGTTTATATGCCAGATTAAGACTTGACTGTATACTAAATTATGATTTATTTATATAAGATCTGATCCTGTTCTTCCAAACTGAAATGATTATCATTTTATTTCTCAATGCAGGTTTATAATAAGATGAGAAATAAAAATTTTCGGACACTTGTGCCCTATAAAATCAATACTTTTTTTGAAATGTATTTTTCCATTTACAAATTTACATTTATTTTCAATATGATTATACCCCCCGTCTTAAAGTTTATCTAAACTTCTCATATTCTTTCCTACATGCTATGAATTTAATTTTATAATGGAGAGAAATTTGTAGAGTTTTCAATCCTTCTGCATTGTACATTACAATGTGGTATAAAATGTTTTGATTGATATATATATATATATATATATATATATATATATATATATATATATATATATATATATATATATATATATATATATATATATATATATAATTTTCTCCGATTTTTACGAGGAGATTTGCTACACAGTGTTATATTCCTTGGAATCAACAGAAAGTAGCATTAAATTCTAAAGAGAAAATAGACTGTGTATGTACAGAATGACAAATTAATACGGTATGACTCATTCAGTCAGTTCCAAAAAGGTAAATTGCGCTAAATATTCTAGTCATTTTGTTCAACTGTGACATTTACAAAAAATGCTGATAGTTTTGTATATGTTGTGTCCAGGTTTGTACCTAATATAGGTAAAATAGTTTTGACGCATCTGAACTTAAACCTAAAGCAAAAGATTTAAAGAAAAATGTATGCAAATAATGGAAAAAAATATGAAGAACTTAATTTGTATAAAGATGTACTAAACAAAATTTATGACGAGTTCTGGTGTGCGTTCATATGAATAAGTTATGATCTTTGCGTGAAAACAGCAATGTATTCCTTGTGAACCAGTATTGCAACCAAATAATGTAATACGTTTTAATTCAAATATCAGGCAATTATCACTTTGTAATTCCAACGAATAATTTAAACAAATGATTCCTCTCAAATTATAACTGAATCCAACTAAAAAAATATTTATTTAAATAGGAATAAATAATCGTGTTAATCTGAACCCTATATAAAATTAGACATAATAATATGACTAGGGTGTGGGTAATTTTCACATTATATTCGTAAAGAAAGTCATGTTTGTTTACTTAAAGGCTAGCAAAGTAACTGACATATCCAAGCAGATCATGGTTATTCCAAGAAAACAAAACTTTGTCCTGAACTAAAATCCAACCAAGCATGTTGTTTACAAATGGTCTTTATCTTAAAATATAATCTACAATCATTGACAAAAACCAGCAATGTAATATGTTGTTTAGAAATAACCACTACAATCTAAAATCAGCGTCAAAAGCCAGCTATGTTAAATGTTGTATACAAATGATCATTGCAATCTACAATCATTGACAAAAGTGCACGTGTATGAAAATCCGACATCATAGACTTCATGTATAGACACAAAAACTGTAGGCTCCCCTGAATAATAATAATAATAATAATAATAATAATAATAATAATAATAATAATAATAATAATCAATATTATAACAATCAGAGAGGAAAAATGTGTACATAGTTCGAATTAAACTGCCTGTTGAAAATTATTATATTATCAGTTATGTATCATTGAGAAAACGTGATAGCATCAAAATAAACATTTGATAAATGATAATCATTCCATAATGTGAACAAACTGCTTGTGTGTGTGTATGTGTGTGTGTGTGTGTGTGTGTGTGTGTGTGTGTGTGCAATCGTTTACTGAAGAAAGTAAAATGGCAACATAACTATTCATCACCTGGTTTTGCTTACCACAAGAAACGATGCAAATAATGCCCTTCCCTGCGAGCGTTAGAATATAGTTTGTTTATTTATATGCCATAAGTACTCAATAAAAATATATCTTGATTCATCGTCCCTTACTTCTTGCTATCCCTATCTGTTAAACAGTATCGCATTTTCATATATATATATATATATATATATATATATATATATATATATATATATATATATATATATATATATATATATATATTGATGTTATTAATGTATTTTATTAGCATATTGTTGTATTGCTTACGCAATTGGGGTGATGAAGTATGTATGCAATATGTATTGTCCAGAAACTGATTTGTCTTTATGCAAAACAATCGAATACGTGTCGTATCCACACGTGTGAAAGAATATCTAATCTTTAATTAATGACTTTATAGTCGTTTGTTTGTCTTGCACATTTAGGAATGAAAATTACTAGCATTTTATTAAAATACACAAAAGTTATCATTATTTTATGTCGTAATAATTTCCAAACTATGAACGAATCATTGCTCTGTACTACGGTTGCTCTTTGCACATTTTATATTAATGGAATTCGTTAAATCAATCGATAATGCAAGTATGTTATGTATTTGCAAGCAGCTTCTTAAATTTGGTATTTAATCTTACACCAAAATAAGGAGATTAAATATATCTAACAAGAAAATAAATCAGTAACTCTCTGAATGAGTATCTCCTAATTTTATTATGAAGAGTTGATTTAAGCTGGTTCGGTGGCCTGGTGAATTAATGATTTCGACAGTATGTTTAACTCCAGTAATGGGGTTGTAAGCATTTATTGATTAATTTAGTAAACATTTTCGCTTTCATCAATTCATCGTTGTTATTACGTTATAATTATGTTGATTGGTGTGAAATGGTGGCTAGTATAACATCATATTGGTGCCTGGATTGCTTCAGACTGCAAATCCTGGAAAATACAATAATCCACCGAAGTAGTTTTGCCATGGCAAAGCTCAAATACCTCGAAGAACTTGTATCATTTTGTTTCACCTAGGGCTTTGATGGGAGGGTGGGAGGCGTTAGTGGGAGTTCAAGTGTGTAAAAGAAGTTATCGAAAAAACATCTCGGCCGATTTGATGTTAGAAAACCAACAGCAACAAAAACTCCTAGTTGCTCCGCATGAAAGCCGCAATTCATGCCACAGAAGACGGTCAGTTGCACTAACAACTACAGGTACGACTTTCCCTTCTGTGTATACTGTAGTGTGACTTCAGACGTACCACGAAATCAAAAGAAACCTGTAAACAATACTCTAATAAATCGTGGACAATAGAAACAATTAAACATATGTCATCAAGAGTTTGTCTTCACATCAAGTCTGTGCACAGAACTATGGGCCTTTAATTTGCATAGGAATGGATTAAACTGAAAACTTTGAAGACATTTTTGCAGACAACGAAAGAGTTGAGACCTAAAATGGTGCTATGAAAATGCTTACAAAAATATATTTAAAAAAAAAACGTTTATTACCATCAACATCTGTCATATATGTGGAAAGGAAATTAAAAACCCCAAATGCTCTGGTGTGTTTCGAGTCTATGCTCTTAAAATAAGTAACAGAAAAGAGTGAAAGACAACAAGCTTTGAAAAATTTAACAAATATATTTATTGCCCTTGAATACAAAATTATATTGAGACAAACAATTAACGGCATTGCGAATTAAATCCCAAAATAATTCAAGATTTACGGACGTGAGTTCTTGTACTTAAAAGTTCTGAATAAAATTAAGTAAAACTCCAGAAAAAAAATCCCAAAACTGAAGTCGATGACGTGTCTGTGATAGCTATGTAAGTGTTGATGTTTCAACATTCTTTTATTGAATCACAGAGATATAATTCCTAGTTTGAATATACTATAAATTCCAGTGGATGTCTCTATCCAAGAAATTTTTTTCAAAGCATTTTTGTATTTCCAGAGAAAACAATAACTTGAATTGAATAATTTGAACAAAAACAAGGATTCCATTCCATCCCAAAACTCCTGGTCACAACATATAATACAACTTAAAATGCTAGATATTAAAGCACGAATGACCAAGTCCTCACAATTACAAGATTATATAGTTCCCTACTTGACCTCTGGTCACATTTAGTATTTTATAAAAACAAAAACCATTACCTAACGAAAAAAATCCTTCTAGAATGATCCTGATGTTGATGTTACAAAATGAAAACCATTACCTGTAAAATTCACTTAGGAATGTCCAAAATATGACCCAAATGAACATGTTTACTTCTTCTATTAATAATAATTTTGATATTAGGCTCATAAACATAACGAATAATGAAGCTATGTATTAGTTGTTTACATTGAATAATAAAAAAGTCAACTTGGATCAAGCAGAAATTAACTCATTTTTAGAGAGGTCATGTCCAACATAGAATGTTACATTAAATATTTTTTAAGTAACAAACAATTAAATACATGTAACAGGTGGCCAAGTGGTTATAGTGTCCGCCTCGGATGCGGGAGGTCGCGGGTTCGAACATCGGCTGAGTCATACCAAAAGCTTATAAAAATGGTACTAACAGCTGCCTCGCTAGGTGATCAGCATTAAAAGGTTAGCGTCAGGATTGGTCGGTCTCGTGTCAGGATAATGTGACTGGGTGGGACATGATGGCAACTGTCTGCGACATGATTCCCAGTGCTAGACAACACTATAAACTGTCTGGGGCTCCGATTGACCGAGTGGTCTAAAGTGTTCACCGTTATGGATCACTGTCATCTCACCTATGTCTGCGTGGGTTCGAGTGTCTGGTTCGGCCAATGTGGGTATGTGAGAAAGCTTACCAGTAGCTTCTCGTGGTTAGGTGATTCTTGCCGAGATTTTTCCCGGTTCTTCCTCCACCACTGATACAGGCCGCCATGTGTGACCTTTCTTGTGTTGAAAATGGCGTTAAACCCTCCAACAACAGCAACTACAACAACAGCTCTAAACTGTCACACTGCAGTCATTCTAGCGATATGACTGAAAAATTGTTAAAGCTACTTTTTAAAAAAAATCCAAATCACTCACTCAAGTACGAGATCAGGACCATTTCATTTGGCAAATACGAAAATCCAGCACATTTCGGGTGTTAGGAAATTTGATCATTCAGATTGCATATACAGAAATCCTGCATTTATCGACCGTGAGAATGCTTGTGTCAATTTCAAAGGATTGTCGAAGCTAAATTATCACCGATCGGTAAAGTTTATTCCAGTCTCTGCAGATCATGGAAAATATTGCCAGTATGTACAAGATAACATTAAAAATTGAAAATTAAAATCTCTTAATCATTTATACTGCGTAAAGCAAGCTACAAATGCCTTTTTCTCGTGATCACTGATACCATCTTGTTTTCCTCAAACGCATTTTTTCATCCACTCCCTAATCTGCCCTGTCTTTCTACTAAAATCATAATATTGCCAAGCAGGTCCCTTGCGACAGAACTCACCAACATATGTTTCATAACGTCTACCACTAAAAGCCAGTTATTAGGTTAGGTGCTTTGTTTTATGCATTCTCTAACTTCATGCAATCATTTATAACAGAAACAAGCGCACAGGAAAACATCAATAAGTTACTCAATCCACTTTTCTCTGGTATCGTCGGGGTATATCAAAATTACATTCTCGTTTCTAAAATTTAATTATCTGCTGCAAGTCAATTAGACAGATAATGAAAACATAGTCGAAGAAGTGCATATATTATGACTATCAAATCAGCTTCTTTCAAATACATAATTTAAATTTCAGATAATAGTTACACGTGTATATAAAAATGTTGTTAGTTTCTCTTCCTGTCGCGATGGAGGTGCCTGTCTTTAATCTCTGTGCAATCAAGATATTCTTGCCGTATTAATTTGTTATGTTTTAATTTTTGACTGTTCCTTGTGTTGAAAGACTTTTTTGATGCGCCTATATCATTTAATTTGTACGCTCTCTCTCTCTCTCTCTCTCTCTCTCTCTCTCTCTCTCTCTCTCTCTCTCTCTCTCTCTCTCTCTCTCTCTCTCTCTCTCTCTCTCTCTCTCTCTCTCTCTCTCTCATGAATTGAGCGACCCATTCATGTTGTCTATAGTTCAATTAAATATAAGAGTTCCAAAGGATTTCCACAAAATAGGCAAAACGCACCATTTAACGCTGTTCTATTACACTGGTATGACAGTAAAAACGAAATCACGCAGAAAGTACTTATTCAGACAAGTCCATTGTACTAATCAATACATACACTGCAATCTAATGTTTTCAATCTATAAACAGTTCTCTACGTGAAGTTTGCTTTTAAAATTGGTCTTTTTCTTTCCTGTCTGTATCTCAAACTCAGCCTAACTGATTATTTAAGCCTCGATTGCTACTGCCGGTGTCGATACATCGGTGAATGTCACATCACCGTCGTAGAAACAATCACGGGGTGTTCTTATATCTGGTGCTGAAGTAAAGTCTTGAGAATTTCCACGTGTACGTTCGATTTCAGCTTACCTCGAGTTGGTAGTGGTATATCATGGTGATTTCAAATAGCAATTTCTACTTGACCCTTAACAAAATTATGACAGTTCCAACGATATTTGGTAGGACCAATTTGATGCGGGTATTCCTGGAGAAGTAGAGTGCAATTGTTATCGATGTTAACATCCGTTGCCAGCTGGTCCAGCACCCGTCCGTAGTTAACTTCACAAATTCATCATAACGGTCAGATTTCATTACCCATTTCCAATAACAAAAATCTGATCTTAAACGCAAGCACCAAAGACAGTTAAGAACCTCTCTGGATAAACGAAGAGCTTTCAGACTGAATTTTATCTCCAATGTTAGCAATGCATCAGTGTAAAAATCCAATTCAGTACCGTCTGGCCTGGTAATTCGTGCATTATTAAAACTCCGATACTGCTTTTAATTATCCACAATACAATTCGACATCAAGTACCAGTTGCTTCAGTTTTTGCAGAAAGATTATTCCGTTATCAGTAAGCACATGAATTGTTCATGAGGCCAGAGCGGTCTCAGCATTAGGTAGAACGAATTCTATTAGTCATAGCAGCTTTGAGCAATTAAATAAGTTCTACGACTGGACTAAAACCAGCCAATGCGATTTGACAAAAGACTTCTACTGTTACTCAGAAAATGATATCGCAGTCAATAGCGTCACAGCCACTCGTAGACGGGTTTGTCTTGGTATTTTGATGTACATAGAAAGTTGGTATGTTGACAACAACGTCGTACAACTGACCCGGTATGATCCGGGGATGTATTTACAATTTCGGAACGAGTTCGGGTGTCCAATATTTATAGCACAAAGCATTTGTTTAATTAGTCTGTTCTTGAACATCTTTGACAATGACCTCATAATAAACATCACTCGCATCAGATGCGAGGGTGAGTTATTCTTCTTTTGTGGATGTACTCTTTTATGCCTGATATACTGCAGGTTCTTTTAAGTTTCATTTGCCTCAGAAATCTGCAAAGTTTGTCTACTTATATTTCTAAGGTCGCTTCCTGATTCAACAACTTATCAATGTGCTGTTACGTGACAAGGACTCGTACTAAGTTACAAAGAAAAGAGTGAAAACCAACAAGCTTTGTCTATTTTAACAACAATGTAAATATTGGTAAATAGGACTTACAGTTTGTGAATATAATCCAAAATTTGATCTTAAAAATAAAAGCATAAGTCCTGTCACTAAATAGTCCTATTAGAATCCAGGTTCGAGTCCCGACGACGCACAAATATGGAAGGCGATGACGTCAGATGTGGTCCAAGATACGAATAACAATAACTCCTCACTTGAATCAGTCTTTGTTTCCGGATAATTCCAGAATAAATTTCCATGAATATCTTTCAGAATATTTTTTGTTAAAAAAAAGTCATCTTACTGAATTTCCATGAAAATAAATTATTAAATCCGAAAATCAGACGAAGAACAAACAACCCTAACAACAAATTAAAAAAAAACACCTTGTTCCTTCAATGTTTTGAATGACCCGAAAAATTGTAAGATTGCGTTTTTAAAACCCCAGATATCATTTCAAGTCTCGAGATATTGGTCATGTGGTCTCTTACTATACTATTTTGAACACGTAGACCAATTTGTCCCATTTAAGAACCAATCATAAAAAAAATGTTGTTTACACACAGTGATCATGCAAAGAAAGTATGTTCCTGATACTGACCAATCATTTTAACTTCCTGTTGACGTTATTGCCAGCGCAAGACAAACTAGGGCAGCTAAATAATTAATTCTCACTTAATACTACTTCGTCTTATATAAACAAACTTTGTTATAAGTATATATCTCATTACTAAAAAAGAATCCCGACTCCCACAAAACTATATAGAATACGATGAAACAAAAATGATATAAAAATAATTGTAAAACTTACACACAAGCAGATTAATCAGATTTACGTAACAGTGTTTTGAATGCATTTAATTCATCTTTTGTGTTTCTTTAATGGACCTGTATGATGCATTCAAACGATACATCGATCTTAGTTTATACGTCACATTTTTGATATCCCAATCCTTTGTCATGGTTTTCCCTTTGTTTGCAGCCTCTACACATTATTTCAGTATACTTTGGGAGTCGATGTCCTGGCTGTTGCTTGACCTTTGTATATAAGCCGCTGCTAACATTTCTTTAATACATCAATATTCACAACTTGACTATATATATATGTGTCACTTTGTCAACACAAAATCATTACTATAGAGATCATACCGCCCTATGTAGTATTGCTGTGGAAACAAATCAATACAGAGCTTTTTGTTGATGTAATAATAATACAAGCCTGCCTGCATGCAGTAGATTCATTCAGTGTGTGTTTCGATCACTACCATAAGCTTGCCTGAATAAGTATATTCTGCGGGATTTCGTTTCGACAATCACAGCAGAGTAGTAGATTAATATTAAATGGCTAATTTTGCCCTTTTAAAAACCCCTTTGGGGCACTTGTATTCGAACGAAACTCCCCCCATTGACTGGCTTGCTCACGTCTAGTGTTTGTGTGTGTGTGTGTGTGTGTGTGTGTGTGTTCAAATTTAAAAGTGCTAAACATGCAACTATAACATATAGACTATGTCATGGGAATATGGACGAAGACATATGACACTTTCATACTACGCGTGCAATTCAGAATTTAAATATTAAATGCTTTAAATATTAAAATATCTCATTAAAATACCCGTCTACCTCGTTCGCCACCCCACTCCCAAAGAGAGATAGATAATAGTTACACAATGTTGTTGTCTTGTGATGTTGTTGAGTTGTCTTCTATATTTCTTCTTCCTTCATTTGTTGTAATTATTAGAAATACGATTCTGCTCAACTGTATCATTCACGTTACACCTATCACACAAGCGTGTGTGTGTGTGTGATATGCGTGTGTGTGATTTAGATTTATAACATAGCCTTTAACAATTTTTCAGTCATATCGACTGATGTCTGCAGTGTGACAGTTTAGTGTGTGTGTGTGTGTGTGTGTGTGTGATTTAGATTTTTAACGTTGCTTTAACAATATCT